TTACGTTGGCATTATGTTAGATAATTTCCTTATAATACCAATTAATGTAGCAATGAATTTTCCGTTTCTTTATTGCTATTCTATTTGTTCCGTAATTAAACATTCTTTTTTTTTTATCTAAACAGAGAATACGATTTTAGAAAATTCTCTAAACAAATTTTCATCCTGAGTGCAGAAAGTGAGTAGATTTAAGTTCTTGACTGCATTCATGAACTGAATTTAAAATTGCTACTAAACGAAACACCATTAAAATCTCTTATAAGCTATTGTAGCATGAAAGTTTAGAAAGATAAAAAAAATGCATTGTCCATTTAAAAAAAAGAAAAGAAAATGCTTTTGAATGAAAAATGATCCATTACTGTATATCAAATTATTTAAAGACATTTCTGAAACGAGTTATACAACTATATAAGGCAGATTATAATTTAATCCTTAACTTAGTACACAATTAAAAAAGATGGTTTCAGCTTCAAACTTTAAAATATTGTACAATACTCAGAATTTTGTTTATGTGGAAAATTTGGAGACATTTTCCACAGAAATTTTAAGTTCATTTTATAAGTTATAGAGTTTTTCGTTTGAAAAGTTTAAGCTTTCAATCGAAAGGTTAAACGCTCAGAAGAATTATTTCTACTATGACCCATGATATCGGTTTTTTAAGCAAATAGAAAAAAAAATTGATACAAGTTTGATTCGACTTTAATAAGTCGAAGCGAGCTTCAAGGTGAACTAGTGTTTCCCGTTCAAGAGTATCAAGTACGATAACATGGTTAAAGTTAACGCCGTATTATGCTCGCCACAAATTGCACTGAAAAAATTCCTGATCAAATTACTCACTCAGGATGCTGATACTTTTTTGTGGTAAGATTAATTTTTACCGGAGCATATATCACGCAACAAAAATCTGATATACCGTAATTTTTACAGTAATATTACCTAAAAATGTCTGAATCAATCTAATTAAATAAATATTACTGTAAAAATTACGGTATAATATTTAGCAGTAAAAATGGATTTTACGGATGACGCAACAAAAATCTGATATACCGTAATTTTTACAGTAATATTACCGAAAAATGTCTGAATCAATCTAATTAAATAAATATTACTGTAAAAATTACGGTAGAATATTTAACAGTAAAAATTTATCTTACGGATGACGCAACAAAATTCTGATATACCGTAATTTTTACAGCAATATTACCGAAAAATGTCTGAATCAATCTAATTAAATAAATATTACTGTAAAAATTACGGTATAATATTTAACAGTAAAAATGAATTTCACGGATGACGCTACAAAAATCTGATATACCGTAATTTTTACAGTAATATTACCGAAAAACATCTGAATCAATCTAATTAAATAAATATTACTGTAAAAATTACGGTAGAATATTTAACAGTAAAAATGGATTTTACGGATGATGCACCTAAAGTCTCGGCACTTTTCTATTCCATAATATGACCCGAAAGTTTTTACAATGTGGAACAATAATATGATTTGATCAAAATTAGCACCATATTAATTATGTAGTAAATTTGAACGATATTATGGCTCAAGATGTTCCAAAGCTTCTGACAATGTATTGACGTTTGTTTTCTATTATAGACTGTTACTCTAATTCTTTTATTTTTTCTAATTTTGTATAATTCTGACACCTTAAATTAAAATTTTTTATTAACATTTTTATTCCAAATTGTTCAAATTCAATTAAATAAAAAATAAATTTCTCTTTTATCCAATTAAGTTATTTTTAAAATATTACTGATAATTATTCTTATAATAATTCAAAAAAAATTATTTCATACATTTAAACGAAATTTTTTAGTTTCATAAGTAAAAGTTAAAAAGAAATTCAGTATAGAATTTGAAAAGTCGTTTCTAAATTCTTGGAACAACTTTGAGGAAACAATACCAACTTTCTGAATCTAAAAATAGACCCAAATAGATATTTAATACACATTTAAACGAATATTTAATATACATTTAAACGAAATATTTCAGTTTTATACATAATAGTTTTATAAAAGTTAAAAAGAAATTCGACATAGAATTTGAAATGTCGTTTTTAAATTCTTAGAACAACTTTGAGGAAACAATACCAACTTTCTGAATCAAAAAGTAGACCCAAATAGATATTTAATACACATTTAAACGAATATTTAATACACATTTAAACGAAATATTTTAATTTTATACGTAATAGTTTTATAAAAGTTAAAAAGAAATTCAGCATAGAATTTGAAAAGTCGTTTTTAAATTCTTAGAACGACTTTGAGGAAACAATACCAACTTTCTGAATCTAAAAGTAAACCCAAATAGATATTTAATACACATTTAAACAAATATTTAATACACATTTAAACGAAATATTTTAGTTTTATACATAATAGTTTTATAAAAGTTAAAAAGAAATTCAGCATAGAATTTGAAAAGTCGTTTTTAAATTCTTGGAACAACTTTGAGGAAACAATACCAACTTTCTGAATCTAAAAGTAGACCCAAATAGATATTTGTCGTTATTGGAGTAGGTAAATTAAGGAAGAGCTCAGCAGCATCTGTATATTGAAATGGAAATTAATTCTTAATTGCACACCTTTTCAGCAGGTTTTTTTGCGATCGTTTCTTTGTTTTGTTGTCACTAATTCAACAGCTATTTCTAACTTAATAATTGCAGGAAGTCTCGTGCTACTAGCTTTTATTGAGCTATTTTTGTTACGGTTGTCTTCATATTTCACTTTTAATTATAGTTTTAAGCGCCGAATTTAGGCAGTTTGATCCAGAATTTGTTGCCTTAGATGACAAGAGGTGGAATGAGTTCGTAATGTTTTTCAGAATTTGGAGGAATGCATTTGGTATTGCATTAAGAACGAAAATATGTGTCATCAGAACGCATTTTTCGTTCAAAATGTGCTATTATAGATTTTAAAAAAGGAAGTTTAGATTTTATATTAATGTAATATGCTTTAAAATATTCACCTTGTAAATTTGTAATTTTCGTCACTAAAAAATTGTTGTAAAAAATATCTGAATCTTTTATGATTGATCAGAGAAAATTTTTCTGTTCAACGGTTCTGTTTAAAAACGAACAAACCGTAATTCTGATTAATAAAACGAAAATATATGGTTTTTGAACCATTCCTTTTGCAGTTTTTCTTTTCATATCTCAATGGTTTACCGGAAAGTCTGGTTCTGAAAACTATAGTTTTTATTACCACACATTCGGTAAAAAAATGCAAAACTGAAAAGTAAATTTAACCGAATAAGTGGTTTTTACTCCATACTCTAAGATATCATAATAAAAGTACTAAATTGTACCACATTTACCAAATTTTATCGCATATTATAGAACTATATTTTATTCATAATTTTATCTAAATTAGTAGCATAGCAATTAGGTAAAAGTTATCATGTTTTTTTGATTTTACCATAGAGCCAGAAACACTGTAAAATTTACCATATTCTGGTATTTTTTGACCATGTCTTTTTTTCGCAGTGTATGACATATGATTTTATTATGATACTTCCTAACATATATGATAGCAATAAAAATATTAATGAAATTTTTTTAATTCTTATTCTTAAGGTGAAAAGCTATTATTATGGGCAAATTGTAAATCATTAAAGCACATTAAGATGGAAATATACTATTGTTCAATAAGGTACATTAAAGTGGAAAGATATTATTAGTGGAAAATTGTGAATAATTAAAGTATATTAAAGAGAGGATGAACAATTGTAGGAAAATTGTGGAATCAATAAGAGTAATTAAAATAGAAATATACTATTATTAGAAAATTGTGAACCATTAAGGTGCATATAAGTGAAAAGATACTATTATTGGTAAATTGTTAAAGTAATAATTTATTGTCTAATTTTGAGTTTTTATGGGTCAGATTTGGTTTAGTTGATTACTAAGTTTAAACTTGTTCACCCACAATGAAAGAAAATTTCAAAGAAAGCTGAATTGTACTCTTGACAGCATTCGACAACAAATTGAATTCCACTAAATCAACACAACTCCTTGTGTTTCTACTGTATTTTTTATTAGTCAATTAATTTTAAATTCAGATCAAAGCAATATTATTAAACTAATATCTTCCAGGTTTTTAAATACACAAAACTGATCACTTTTTGCACTTCTAAGTTCTGCTGAAAATGGTTTGCATTAAAATAATAGTGAAAAGTACACGTGTCTTTATCGCGTCTTTAATTATTGTATGTATTATACGTATAAATATACTTGGTACAACTAATTTGACAGAAAAAAACTTAATTGCGTTCATGGTGATATTAAAAATGTTGGATCACAGTTCTGTGAAAGCAAAGGGAACTAGAAACCAGTTACCAATTAGAAAAGTTATAAAAAACCATCTGTCACTTATTTAATATAAGAAGCAGTATTGAGATAAAACAAAATTTTAAATAATCGAGTTCTACTAATACTAAATATACGAGTTTCAATTCTAATGTATTTGTGAGTGAAAAATTGCCTGCTTTTAATTTTTTCTACTTCATTTATAAAATCACAAATCCCAGTCGCTTCTTTTTCTTTTCTTTTTAAAAAAAAAAAAAAAAAAAAAAAAAAAAAAAAAAAAAAAAAAAAAAAAANAAAAAAAAAAAAAAAAAAAAAAAAAAAAAAAAAAAAAAAAAAAAAAAAAAAAAAAAAAAACGTAGAATAATTAAGCTGAACTTTTTTCTTTAAATTGAATTCTTATGCATTTGAATTCAAATTCTTCATGAAATGTATTTAAAATAACAGGTGGGTTTATTTAGCTTATTTAGATGGTTTATATAAATATTTTGTCATAAAATATTAATAATTTTTTTAAAGAATTTAAATAAAACTTTTGGTTTGTAAGCGTTTTCCTAAATTATTGATCCAATTGATAGTTTACACTGGTGCTCTGACTTTAAGCTTGAAATTATTTGATAATGCCTCTTTTCATTAAAAAATCATCCATTATCTCGACTAATTTTTTCTTGTTTATTTTAGAAATGGCTTGAAGGAAAGACGAAACATCAGAAAATACTTTAAGAACTCTTTGAAGAAATGAGGAGATTGTGGTGTGCTAAGTGCATAGTGAGTTTATTGGTATCAGTCGCATTAACATTCCATTTACTTCGTTTAGGAACAAACGAACAAACACTGGATAAACGAAGTACGTATGCTTTAGAACTGGAAAATTCCAAATCTATTGATATACCACCTACCAGTCATTCTTTCACGAAAAGTATTCCATACTTACGACGAAAGTTATCCCAAGGTAATACTGTGACAGCCAGAGAGACTTTAACGCCAAAGTGGATTGTATTGGCTGGTAATGTTACTGTTCACGAAGGCACTAAATATGTGCCTAATTATGTTTCATTCGACGTCAATTCTCCATATTTGTGTGCCAATTTTTATGAATACAAAACAAAACTACTCATTTTCGTAGCATCTAGTGCGAATCATTTTGAGCAGCGGCAAGCGATTCGCGAAACTTGGGGTCTGAAGCTTTTGCAACAAGCTTACAATTACCGAGTGGTCTTCCTTCTCGGCAAAACGAAAGAAAGCGAACAACAGCTAATGACGCAAGAAAGTTACAGGTATGGTGACCTAGTCCAAGTCAATTTAACCGAGTCTTTCCGAAATTTGGGGAGGAAGTCTGTAGCTGGTCTTCAATGGACAAAACAATTCTGTAAGCAAGCGGATTTCATCATGAAAACAGACGATGATATTTTGGTTCATGTTCCGAATCTCTTAAAAGCGTTGGAAGGCGCAGAAAAAACTGACCCTCTGCTGATGTGCCATGAAAATAGAATGCGGCAAATCTTAAGGAAAGAATTGCTGGATAGTGCTTCCATTCCACCAACATACCATAAGTACGAAGTTTCTGAGAATGAGCTACCTGGAAAGTATTACCCACCATACTGCTCAGGGATGGCTTACGTATTTTCCAGTACAGTTAGAGACTGGTTGCTAGAAGCAAGTGCAACAACGCCTATCTTTTTCATCGAAGATGTATATTTGACAGGTTTTTGCCGTCACAAAGCTGGTGTCATAATAAAACCGCATAGTGGCATCACCTTGCGACCTCCTATTGACTTTCACCAAGCTGCTTGTACTTTTAGGGACGGGCGTATTTCTTCTCAAGAAGTAGGCGTTAAAGAACTCCGGAAATTGTGGGTGGAGACGAACACACAAGGTTTCTTTTGTCCTCAATTACTGGGTTATGCCAAAGATCGAAAGGAATTCGAGTGATGAAGTAATGAGGGAACCACAACATAAAAATGACTAGTCTACATTTGCATAAGCTGGAACAAAGCAAAAACCGCATGTCATATCATTTAGGAAGAAATATTTTATGGGCCAAATCACTTAGTGGTGAATAAATCATCATAATAAGTTAAAATTTCATTTGTTTATATATTTCCATGGATTTCTTTTTATGTCATTGACATGTTTTCGTATTAAAAATGATTTTAAAAAGGTTTCTTTCACCTCATTTCGTTTTTTTTTTTTTTTTTTTTTTTTTTTTTTTTNGTGTTTTTTTTTTTTTTTTGTAGCTCGCCTTGTTTGCTGAAGAATCTTTGTAGTTTAGGTAATTAAACAATCAATTTCGTTTTCAGAATACCCAAAGATGTATTGTTATTTCATAAAGTTTCTGGTTTTTCTTGTTATTAAAGATTAATTCAATAATAAAAAAGAAAATAAAGGAAAATGCTCGAAATTGAAACAAGATGTATTTGAAATTAAGCAGCTGTTAAAATTTAAAAGAAAAATTTGGAAATAAATTCACATTTCTCTACTAAATAACAGAAACTAATAATACTAGATAATTGAAACAACTTATTTTTTGTAGAATAAAGAATTTAAAATCTGTTTTTAAGCTGATTAAACGCCACAAAACGAGAAAATTAGCAACTTTCTAACTTTTAGTTCAGTTTTTTTTTTGTTTAATCATAGAAAAAGGAAAAAAAAAAAACTCAAGCAAAAATGAAAAGCTATATTTGAAATTGAACAGTTATTAAAATGTCAAATTTGTCTGTATACAACTGAGTGGTCAAAGAAATTAACATATAAATTAACATTTTACTACTAAATAACAGAAACTATTAAATTCTAATAATACTAAATAATTAAAACTATTTATATGAATATTTTTACTTTTTTTTTTACAATTGAACAAAGATGTATGCATTTAATAAAACTTTAATTAATCAATGGATTCTGAAAAAATGAACAGAAATTAAGATAATTTATTATTTACGGTATGGATATTTTGAGTAAGAGTGCTTGAATTTAAAAAAAAAATTGAATATAATTTTTATTTATGCATCACCAAATCTTGAGCTAAAAATTATGATATTGTGAAATTACGTAGTTCTAAAGTTTTTTTTAAATGTTTTTCGAGTAAATATAATTCAGTTGACTGGAAGTTTTGAATTATGTTTTCAGCTACTGACATAAATATGTCGCAATTTGTAAAAATTTTTTCAGGTTAATAAAAATAATAATTATTGCTAGATTTGTTAAAAATATTAACTATATACTTATAACACTTGTAATAGTGTGTAATAACAAATGTAATAGTTTCAGGTTAACAGTAGCAACAACAACAAGAAAAATAATAATGAATGAACAAAAAGTTTGAAAAATGCATTTTTAAAATCAATATCTTACACTGCAGTTTATCTTTGTTCACTGTTATCAAAAAAGCTCGTAAAAAGATTACTTTTAATAAATATTTCTCTTATGCATGTGTACGTATTACTGTCAGTGTGGTAAATCCAGTTATTATCCTAAATAAGCAGTTATTGTTTAAATCTAATAAAACGAAATGTTTAGTATGATTTAATTTGTGCAGTCCATGAAATTTGTTGTGATATCTGGATATTATACGTTATAAATAAGAAGTTTAGCTTACGTAATAAATTCGTCATATTTTTTACCTACTTTTCAACCTAATATTTAGTTTTTATGATAATGAAAATAAAAAGTAAAAAGAGCTAAAAATAAATATTTTAATTTTTTTGTAGCTGTTAGACAATTTTGTGACAGTTTGCAAGAAAGTGAGCTTGTTATGCTTTTATGTTATTCTATTTTGATATTTTATTTTGCTCCTTTCGTTTCAATTTTAAATTGATTTTTCCAAGCAAGTTTGACATAATCATAAAATAATGGTTAAATAAAATTATAAGGTTTTTATGTTTAAATAATCATTGCAAAATGTTTGAATGTGATTTGGGTGCATAAAAAAAAATTATAGTGCTAATACTTTATACCATAATTTGATCGTGAATTTTTCTTACCGGACACTGATTAACCGGATTCTGACAAACAGAATTCCGAACCCGGAATTCAGTGTAGCAGAAGTTCTAAAGCTGCACAGTATTGTTTTCCTTAAAATATCTTTTGATAAAAGTTTGTATAAATGTGTTTATGAAAAAAATATTTTTTAAGGAAGGGTCTCGAAGTTTCATTCTCCAATCGAGCTGTAAAAAAAGTATTCGTTGAAAATTATTTAAAATACTGTTTTGAGGAAACCAAGAATATTTTTTAAAATGATTCAAAGATACGATTATTTAAAATATGAAACTATTATTTTACATCAATTAATAATTATATTTTTCGAAAATTAGAAATCTTTTTTTATAATTTTTTAAAACACCAAACTGCATACGTATTTTTATATTAGACTAACACATATCTGTAATTATTGCAAAACTTTCGTTACTTATCGCTGAAATTTTGATATTTTTTTAACACTAATGAATACAGACAAAAATGCACGTCTTTACAAAAATATTTTAAACAAGAGTTAATTTATAATAATAAATTGCTTTAAAATGTCTTATTTTCGCAGGAACAGTCTACTCGAAGGTTTTTAATTCCTTTGAATTTATCTTTTTCTTGGTAGTTGTGAATGTATGATTATTTTCTGTCATTATGAAGGAGGAGTTCAAGTTTCTTTTTTTCTACATTTTTTAAATTTTATTTTGGTATAGTATATAGTCTTTTGCGCCATTTAGTTTCCGAGGTAAAAATCATTAATTATGTTAACAATTCTAAATTTAACTATTTTAAATTTATTAGAAAAAAGCCTTAATTATTTCAGACTTGTGTGTGATTGGTGTTTAAATTTCGATATTTTCCTTATCTTCTGGTTACTTCCTTGGTAGTTTACTATCAGGTAGTTTACGTCGATATAGAAAGCATGCATATATTGTAAAATGTTTAAAAAGGTTAGTTTAAAATGAATAAATAACTGATATGATACATTTTATTTTAAAAAAAATATTATTTTCACAATTTTTTATACCTTGATAGATTATTTTTTTTAAGCGTTGACAATTCTTTAATTTTTAATTACTGTTGGATCCTGACCGTCAACACGTTAGAATTGAAAACGTGTAGTTTAATGAAAAATACTAACAATCACTAACCTCCGTTCGGGAGAAATATGATATGTGTAACACATCTAATATTTTTTATTGTAGTTTTTTATTTGCTATTTTTTAATATTTTAAGAGGAAAAAGACTTTTTACTAATCGTATTTATACTTTCAATATGCTATCAAAAACATTATGACTACTAGGAAGAAATTTTGTAGTGCTGCCATCTCTGTGTTATCTATGTAACTAATCAAAAATTAAATCTTGAAAATCACACTAATTCTGCTAAATTAAATGGAAGCTGTGATGCCGCATCCGCATCTAAGTGAAAAACCTATACTCCTGCTTTAGAGAATACGAATGCCTTAACTTTTAAGATTATTGAATGATTGATTAGAAAAATAAGATTAAAATACTAATATCGATTTTTTTAAAATCTTTTAAAGATATTTAATAAGATAAGAAATGAAGATAATTTTTATATTTACGAAAAAGAGCTGACATTATACAAAATATACAAATATCAAATTTAAGAGAGGTGCATTATGATTTTGTATGGGTGAAAGTATAATGTGAAATTACATTTAGCTTTAACTAAAATTTATTGAATTTTCGTTTATGTGCTATTTTGTTTGTAGAAACCGCATCGCGTTAATTAATTTAAATTAAATTAAATATAAGAACTTTTTGTCCCAGATATTACTAAATGATATGATTCTTAGAAAAGAAAATTATCTCTATATTCATTGGATTTTCGTCATTTGTATAACTTAAGTTTTGTTATTTTCTTAAAACGTTTTTCTTCTCTCTAAAATCTTATTTTGTTTTGTTTTTTATGCAAATAAGAATAATCATATATTAATTTAGAGTTACAATCTGAATAGCTTCTGATATAAAACAATTATTTCGAAAATTATAATAGTTAAAATGTTACAAAAATTATCAAATTTTTTCTTTACATGAGAAATATCAGTTTATTTATTTACTGGTTTCAAACAATTACTTGTAATTAATGATTCGGGACCTGCATAAGAAACCTGTTTAAAGAGCACGTTTAAATTGTGGTAAAGATTCCAGATTATACTGTTCTCCACACTGTTCTTGTGAATTATTGATACATAGCTATAAAATTTCTTCTTCTTTGGCTAGCCAGCGGACATCATAAACAAATTTTTCCTGTCTAGTCCTCAATCTGTCAATAATTTTTTTTTTTTTTTTTTCTGGAGACGGAGTCTCGCTCTGTTGTCNTTTTTTTTTTTTTTTGCAGTACCATAGGCGTAGCTGAAAAAAGGTTTATTTTCTTAAGAAGGGGGACATAATTTTTTTTTTTTTACCATTTGGAAATAGTTTGATTATTTTACTTTGTTTCTTTTACCACGCATTACTTTATGTCTCATTATTTTTATAAATAAATCACTTTATAATAACTATTTAAAATACTATCATTGTATTTGGAAGCTATTATCATATATATTTAAAAAAGATATAAAAAATGTTCTTAAATTTAACCAGAATTTTCCGTATTTAACCACTTGATAACTCGTATAGTCAATAATTAAAACTTTCTCATGAAGGAGGCAATAGTACTTAATTAGAATGGCATAAGTTGTTTTGATATAAATAACTTAATTTGTTAGACATTTGGCAAGTTTGATTTTTTATTTTATTTTTGTGTTCTTAAAATCAGTTGCATATAAATAACGATACAACTTATCTCGATGCAAAATTTTGCAAAATACTTTTGCAAAATTTTAACTAAATATTAAAAGGTATTATAGAAATTATATTTCATTTAATTTAGTAAGCTCAGTGTCACAAAAAAAAAAACCCAAAATAAACTAAAACACAATATAAGAAATGTAGTATATGCAAATTGTGCTAAATATGTAGGAAGTGTTTGTCCTGAGGGCTATTTTTAATTCTAACTCGTTTTTAACGTTTTTATGTTTGGTTTAGGAGTATTACATTTTTCTTGATGCATATTTGTAAATTAAGCGTGCAATTCTTAGTTATGGGACACTATTTAAAAACTGAAGAAATAAATTTTTTGCTACGTGTAATTAAATTTTTCTAACATTTCTATTATTTTCACGCATTTGGCGCGATTCGGTTTAGTTGCAGTTTCTAACTTACATTTTGTTACGGTTTCTAAGTTATATTTGAAGACCTAATGAATATTTTAGAAAAAATTAAACCACAATGTGTCAAAAATCGTTCACGGCGTTTCAAATCATTTTTTTATAGTAAGAAATAAGGAAAGAAATTTGACTCTATAATGCAATTTAATTTAACTACTTTTTTTTTATTGAATAAAAGTGACAGTTATTAAATAAATAAGGACACAAATTAATAAAAAAAAGTATGCATTCTTCCTTATTAAGTTTTCAGTTCTGGCATTTTAAAAACGTCTCATTCTGCGTTTCCTCGCTTTAAATTTTTCAATGATTTTAGAGTTGCCATCGTGTTTGAGGCAATGGTCGACGTAATCTGGTCCTAAAACTTCTTCTTCCAGAGGCATTCTTAGACCAACTGTTTTGTCAACTGCCTGAAAAACATAAGCAATTATAAAAAATGAAACTTTCAGTTGTTAATTAAGTAAAAAGGATAAAGCTACACTGAAAATAAAAATTCCGTTTTATTACGGAAAAGAACATGTTGACAGAAATTTCCAGTAACAAAACAAAACAGAAAATATCTGTATGCATCAAATATTTTCCGTAGGTCAGGGCAAAGAATATACATAGGGGAAGAAGTCCAGCTTTCATGTTAAACAATCCTCCAAGGTTTCTCACGGTCACTATGTATAACCCCTTAACGATCGGTTAATTTTCAAAAAAACGGTCATAAAAGCTCCTATTTTACTAAATACACGTATTTGATTAGTGCTGCCATCTAGTTTAAAATAAACTGACTGTCTACAATTACCTTAAAAATATCCTGGTACTTCTATCTGGTGTGTAAAATGAGAAATAAAATGTTTTCCGGGAAAAAAATGATTAGTTTTATTCTTATTGGAGCTTTAGTACTGAACACTCCAGCCCGGAAATTTCACGGGAGCGAGAAATAGAGGGCGAATCTCACCCCGTAATTTTCACGGGAGCTAGAAAGAAGAGGTTAAAACAACATTTAGGGACACAACAGTTGAGGTTCTGAAACGGTTTGCACCCTCCTCTCCTCCTAACCAATACTAGAGTTCGGATGAATATTATTGGTTTGTTTTGTACTTTTACACTATTGATAAACAGTACTGTACTAATTAAGATATTTCTTTGAGAATACGTTTATATCATTCATGTTAGTTATATCTGCTAACACATTTTGACATAGAAATAAAGAATAAAATGACGATTAGCGGGGAGCAGCGTACCTAATCACGCATGTAAAGTTGTCTAACAATCGGTTCACGGGTGACGTACTTCCGGTCACTTTGCTTCTTATGCGCATACGCTAGATCTTAGTTCAAATGACGCCCTGCTAAATCTGAGTAATTGTGATCCTAAATCTGAGTATCCCTGTAAGTTGTTTTTCTGGTATAGCATACCACACTGAACAGGTTCCAGCGTTAGTTACGTATATTCGAAGAGCTGGACTTCTTATTTCTATATTCTTTGCTTAGGGTACGGTAGAGAAATTTGGTTAACTGTATACTTTCTGTTTTGAATATTGAAACAAATTTTTAAAAATCCGATTGGTGTTTAAATTGTACCAGATGTTGGGTGATTATTCGCTATTTTTGAAGTATGGAAAGCCATCAAGTTTTTAAAGAATCATCGTAGAATTTTTATTTATTTTTACATCGCTGAATTCAGACTTTTCGAATTTGGATTTGTACCTGAATTGAGGCTAAGTTTTTGACCACTATACAAGCCGGTCGAAATCTGTTTCAATGTATCAAACTGTTTATTGCCGCTTTGATACCTAAGTTTTTCATATTCAAAACTGAAATATCTGTACCCAACAGGTATAATCTTCCACAATGGTTACAGATTTCATTTCTTAACCGGAAAAATATCTCTTTTGACAGTTTACGATATAGTTTAATAGTAAATTTCTGTAGTTCAAGAGAACGGAAATTTTCTGTAGTTACATAATTGTTGTGTGTTTTTAACAGAAATTTTTTACAGTTTATTTTGTATCGTGAATTAACATTATTTACAGAGAGTATAAGCAGTTTTCATACGGTATTTATAATATAACAAACAAAACTGATAGGATTTATTTAAATAACAAATGAAATTGATGCGATAATGAGATATTTAGTTTTTTAGGGAACTAAAAAACTAGCACTTTATTGGTAAATCTTAAAAAATGAACGTAATATTGTTATCTATAAAAAAGAAAGAGACCGAAAATCGTGACACCATTCTCGTTTGGAATGATGATGAGTTTATTTTTACCAAAGAAAAAAAATTGCTAAAAATAAATTTTTTTTTTTTTTAAATTTGTTGTTGTTGAAAAAAATTGTTAAAAAAAGTTAACAAATTTGTGCTCAACAAATTTGAAAAAAGAAATACTTGAAATATATATGTAAGCATTGAAACTTATTCATGGAAACCACATTTAGAATACAATAAATAGACTTAGGGGTAAATATTATTAATTTTATCCAGATTTTCGCATAACGATCCAAATTATTATAATTTAATTCAAATTTAAGCATGTTAAACATGATTATGTGGTGGGGTGCTTTTCCCCACTTCAGGCAATTCACATCTCATCACGTCACACCCCAATAGAGATTATGTTCCAACTAAAGCTCGAAAACTGTTAATCTGCAGATAAACTAAGGTAATCTGTGAATTGAGTGAATTTGAATCGAGGGATTTTACCAGTTTACTCAGAAAATGCGCGGATTAACGGTTTCTGTATTGTTAAAGTTCAAAAATATTTCTTTTCTTTTTTATAAATCAAACAATGAAAATTTGTTGTTTGATTGTATTTACTGACTTGATTCTTTAGATATTGAAAAATAAATTAATGATATCATGCTAATTTTCTTAATTGTAACCATATTTTAAACATTTTTATTATTTGTATTACACATTTTAAAGTGGCTGAGGAATAATTTTATCAACTAATGCATTGATTTTCAATGTATATGACGAAAACAATTCTGGTGAAATTACTGTAATGTATGGTAACGCTATTTCTTGTAAAAAAAAAAAACAACAATATAATTCTGGCAAAAAAAGCAAAATATGCTGTATTTAAACCATTTTTTAAGTAATTTCTCAGTTCATATGGTACCGAAAGTTCTGATTTTCAAAATTATCAATTCAATTACTACACATTTGTTAAGAAAATATAAGATTGAAAGGTAAATTTAACAAAAAAAAGGTAAATTAAAAAAAAACTTTTTTAAAAAAAAAAAAGAAAAGAAAAAGGCTTTTATTCCATTCTCTAAGGTATCATGATAAAATTACCCAATTTTACCACAGTTACCAAATTTTATCACATATCATAAAATTATATTTTGTAGATAATTTCACCAAAATTATTAAAAAAGTTATTCGGTTATAAATTGCTGAACTTTTTGGTGTTCCCATATAGTAAGAAGCATGGAAAATTTTACCATCATTATCAATCATAGTTCTTTTTTTAGTGTAGCAATTTGACTTTTTCGATAGCAAAAGATAATTAAAAATAACATTTTGTAACTTAAATGTACAGAAACGCTGCTGTTGTCCCAGTAAAGATTTTATTCTAACGAGTGCCTAGTAAGTATTGTACAGATTATTTAGATTTAGGTAGTTTGCAGATTACCTAGGTAATTGGAAAGCTGAAGCAAATTTTCGGTACTTTTACACATAATCCTAGTTAATCTGCAAATTAACTAGATAATCTGTAGAATTACTAATTTTTACACTTTAGAGAAAGTAGTTACACTTGGGATTTCTGCGCAAAAGATGCGAGTTGAATACTATGCGGAGCTGACTTTTGAGTTGAATACTATGCGGAGCTGATTCTTTAGTTGAATACTATCCAGAGTATTCCTCTTTTATATTAACTGCCCAATGTAATAATATTTTCTCATGTTTATGTTAAATAATTTTCTTTTATTAAAATAGTCTCCTGAACTACTTGCTCCCATAATAGTTTTTTGTTATATAGTAATAGTTTTTTTTATTGATTTATTGCAAAAAAATAAAAAATTCTCCTCTTTTAGTACCCTCATTTTCCTGCATAACCAGATGCTATGACACAAAATGGCTAAATAAATTTGAAATAGCATTAAGAAACTGTACGCTATGAATGGTATGCAAATTAAGGATAACTTATTACCACAATGAAGTAAATAAGATGTTTACAAAACATAAGCCATAAAAATGATCAATTTGACAATTTAAAAGTAATGGTTACAAAGAATATAGAAACATACGTGCTTGGAAATAAAGCTGAATTATTTTACCTGCATCTGTTGGAAGCACTTTTCAAAAGAAAATGACTTTTGCATAAACCATTCTACTTTTTACATTTCGTAAGCAATAACGCAACTCGTTTTGAAAAGAAATTCTAAAAAGTACTTTCTTTTCGAAATAAGTTATTTAAAAACATTTGGGTGGAAAAATCTCTTAAGGAACGAGATTATAATCGTGTTACATTATATTAAATGCAAAATAGACTTTTGTGCGAAGACATATTAGCAATAAATATAAAGTATATAATTTTTTAGTTTCCATATTTTTTTAAAAAATAATTGAGAAAAACTGGTTTTGAGAAGTGTAGTCAATGAGTTAAAGACAATGTTTCTTCCTAAAATGTTAGTTTTGTAAATTTTTGAGCTGAGGTAACTCAGAGAATAGAGTATTCGCCTCCTAATGAGGTGTCCAGGTTCGTACCTCAGAGGTTGATATGAATTCTGCTCTGACTTGGCACCTACCACAGTGATAATGTAAAATCTCCTCAGTGGTAGACGGATCATGAGTTAGAATTCACTTGACATTGGGTGAATCGCGGGAGGTTTTATGGTTTTCCTCTCAAAGTAGCGCAAATGCGTATTAGTTCCACCAGAAAGTCCTGTACGAAGACTAATTTGTCCCAATGCTTGATCAGGGAATTCCTTCGTCTTCTGAATCGATTAAGAAATTACAAGGCTACAGAGATGCACATTGATAGTTGTAAACTCAGAATCGAGACGGTTTCTCAAAGCCGGTAATGAAATAAAATTAAAACTATGTAAATTTATTAAATTTTTCAGTAGTAGGATGTGCACAACTGTAATTTTTTAATTATTTTATGTATGAAATTTCCAATTATTGTTACTTTACGATTAGAAAGAGATTATAAATATAAAATTATTATATTGGACGATATTTAATGCACATTGTAATTTTTAGATGTTTAACTAGTGTTCAACAGACTTTTGAATAAAGAGAAGATTTTATCTCATGAGCATTTCTACAGACCACTATTAGTTTTAAAGATTATTGGAATTACGATTTGAACCATAGATATAATCTATAAAGTTTTAAAGTGCTCAACACAAGAAATGGTCACTTTAAGTAATGGTAAATTTTATTTAAGTTTAGATACAGTATTTTTTACTTTTGGAGGAATTGTTTTTCAGTTTCAAAATATTATTTTTTAAAAGTTTTAAAATAATTATCTTTTCTTTTCTTGTATCATCATCTTCCAAAATTATATTCAAACAAATAATAATTAATTTAATTGTTTATCTACGTTTTTAATTTGATATCTTCTAATTTAGATAATTTTAAAACGGATAATTTTCCATACGAATTACCTGCACTCAGTAAATTTCACTTACATAAAACAAGACAGCGGAAACAGCAAAACTCCAGGCAAAAAGTACACCACAAGACAATGCCTGTGCTCCAAAAAGTCTCCATCCTCCACCTTTGAACAATCCATTTAGCCCTCTTGTATAGTTTTTCATGTTATCACCAACGGAGAAGAGACCAATTGCAAGAAGTCCCCATGCACCGGCTGTTCCATGGACTGCAAATGTGTTGGTTGGATCATCAATGTGCAATCGGTCTATGAGAGGTATTGCAAAAAGAACTATCAAGCCTGCTACCATCCCGATCACAATGGATTCCCATGGACGAACAATTGTGCAACCTCCTAATGGTGTATACAATAGAAACATTGAATATACATTTTAAATTATTGAGAATAATTATTATCATTGCAGAATGTCTTGTTGTATGTATTGCATGAATTAACAGTGTTTTTTTTTTAGAAATAGTAAATTCTAGTCACGAAAATCATTTTTTACTGACAAGAACAAATTGATATAGAAGTATTTGTTTGTTTTTAATTTTTTTACTACTAGTTTGTTAGTTATTTGTTTATTAAGTTATATTATTACTTTTATCGTATCTTTTAATGATATATTAATTTTATTAATTTATTTTTAATTTAATTATTTTTATATTGTTATAGTCAATTTCGAAATTTGTTAATTTTGCACATATAGTGAGTTTAATTATTTGCTTTATAATATTAATATAATTTATGATAATAGTGATTTTGTTGCAATGTTACTTGTGTTGCTGTAGTGTTATAATAGTGCTTTTTTTATAAATGCTTTTAAGTAATATACATCTAGTAATGAATTCACAGATAACACTACTTAGCTGTCATTTATTTAGATTTTAGTTTAATGACAATTTCTAAAATAAGTTAAAATATGTTGTTTGTAAGTATTTTACTGATTTATTTTTAGTTTAATTATTAGCTATATGCTAGTGCCCCAAAACACCGGTTATTCCATAAATTACAAATGTGTTGTTTGAATAATCATTGTGCACTCGGTATAGGAGAGGTATTACAGGAAGAACTGTCAAGCCTGCTATCCCATGGACGGACAATAATGCAATCTCCTGATGGTCTAAGCAATGGACACATTGAAAACACTTTAACACTAGAACAGCCAGATTTTTGACTTACCTAAAACCACCATTTGGGATCAATTTGACCCTCATAAGAAATTGATGTTATTTCAAAGTAAACGATTAATATTGTTCAAAATAGAATTTGTAGGAGTTTTCACAGATTAAAGAAACTCTTTTTTCGTTTTTTTTAACGTTATCGCAATATTCTAATATTACGTAGTATTGCATTACAGATTATTCTTTCGCAAGAACACAAGTAATACGAAAATCGAAAAACTACATGAATATAAATAATAAGGAAAGTAAGAACAATAGCACCTTTGCTTTAATGACTTACGACAACAACAACAACTGAGACGCCTGGTGTTTAGGTGTGGTTCCATAATTAGAGTACTATACTTTCACCAGGCTGCAATTCATTTGCTTGCTTTTCAACTTGCACAAATAAAGATAGCAATGAAATTTTTTTTAAATTTTGTATTTTTCAGACGCAGCAACGAAATAGGAATTCAATAGGAGCTCAACTAAGCTACTTCACTAATTAAATTTAAGATACCATATAATTTCACAAAATCTGTTACGCGTGACTATTTTTTTAACAAGGTGAAACCTAGTTTATGTTCTACAATTCATAATGTTTGCAGTTCTGCAAAATTAAAAATAGACGTAAAATTTCAAAAATGATGGATTTTTCTTATGATTGTCAAAATGATCTGTTTTGGCTGCTTTAGATACTTCCCCAGTTATTTATTTTATTAATCAAAAGAATGGCATAAAATTTTGATATAATATGCTTAGAAACAATTTAGGTAAAGTAAAAAAAAAAAAAAAAAAAAAAAAAAAAAAAAANTAGGGTTTCAAAAAAAAAAAAAAAAAAAAAAGCTTCAAAGCTCTCGTGTATCTTCAAAACTTACATGAGAAAGTACAAGAAACGATCAAAATGACCCCAGAGGGACTACAGTGTTAAAATGTTGAAAACATAATGATTATGTTTCTCGAATAGTATGTTGTTGTTGTTGCTTATCCTCATAGATCTGACATTAGTCAAATCAACTCCAAAAAGTTGTTGTCAGCCAGAAAGTCGACGACAAGAAGGGGATCGGAAGTTTAGTCCGCCCTGGATAGTCCGACACAATCAAGTATATGTTTCTGTGAGGCTGGATGGACGCAGCATTTTTTACAAGTCGGGTAAATTTTGGTGCCACGTTCGAATGTGAGACATTTTAGGTGACCACTTGAGAATCTGGCCAAGGCAGTCTGGGAGCTTCGATTGCTATTGATTCCCAGAAGGGTGCCAGGAGATGTTGCGGTGTACCATTGGTGCGTAGGTGGAGTTTGCCAGATTGATTTTTGTCTATATTTTTCGTTGGAGTAAAGTTCCTGATAAGTAAGTGATGACCCTGTGAATATATCTTCCTCACTGCCCTCTTTGATCAATCTATCTGCTATCTCGTTGCCACCAATGTTAACAAGTGATGGAATTCATTGGAGATGTATGTACGTCATGGTGCTGAGAAGTCTTTTTCATCTTAAGCAGGATAGATATACTTTGAATAGTATTGTTATATGTATTAACGATGTATTTTTATGTGTATAATAGTAATAAATTTTAGCCGCCAATATATATTTTTACCGATATAAACAACTTAATGCATCAGAAGGATTTGCTTGTTTTTAATTTTTTATCTCTAGTTTGATAGTTATTTGCTTATTTTTTAGTTATATTGATATTTTTATTATATCTTTTAATGTTATCTATTAAAACTATTTATTTGTAATTTATTTATTTTGTGTTGTATTATCGATTTATAAAACTATTATTTTTTGCATGTAATGAATATAGTTATCTGTTTTAAAAGAATAATATAATTTAAGTTTTACGAGTTATTTTATTGTAATGTTATTTGCTTTTTTTTAAAAAAATAAATGATGCTTTTAAGCAACACACATCAATTGATAAATCCATTGATAAAATTATTTTTTCAGTTTTTAACAAGATGGCTAAAAAAATTCAAATATGTCTAAATGGCTAAAATTATTCTGCGGTTGCTGTTTTTAAGTATTTTACTGATTCTTTTTAGTTTATTTATTAGATTATTTCATCTAAAAGATTAAAAAGAAATTACCTGATATAGCCACTAAAGATCCCATGACTGCATTCATCAGGATTGCAACATCATGAATTCCATCCTTTGCAAAATAGCTGTAAGTAATTTGACAATGATAGATGTATGCAACTAATAAGCTGTAAGTCTTTCTACATATTCTTTGAAATAAATTTAAAATTATAGTTAACTTAAAATATTTAAGATAAATCGGACAATTAATAAATGTTGTTTTTCACTATTACATAAAAAATTTAATATCATACCCTCATTCCTAACCTCAATCTCTTGAATAAAGTAGGTCGAAAAAAGTGATTGTTTTTGAATTTCGGAGCCCTTTAGTGCGGAAAAATTGTCTATTCTATTAAGAATAAAAACGGTACGTATAGTTTTTTAAATCAGTTAATATCTACCGTTTGAGCATCGTACTTAAAATTAACGAAAGTTTAAAAAAAAATCAGGTTTTCTTTAAAAAAATTTAAGTTGACTAAAACTTTTGAACTAAACACGTTTTAGTTTTCTATGCTTGTTTAATAGTTTAAATAGTCTAAATAAATCAAATTCTGATACATTTTTTTTAAAAGCTGTGAGTTTTTGAAGTTTCATTAATTTTAAGTATGATATGCGAATGGAAGATATTAATTGATTTTAAGAGTTTAAAGTTTTTATGCCAATTTTTTTCCTTATTTCAATAGGCAACTTTTCAGCATTAAGATGCTTCGAAATTTAAGATTTCATTTCTTTTTCGATTCACTCTACTCCATAGGGAGTTGAAAAAATTGTTATTACTTCTTGGAAAAAGTTTTATGCAGTTTTTCATAAATAATGTCGGGCTTTTTCAAATAAAGCAGTGGTTAAAGGTTGCCCGTTTTAGTCAATGGTGAATGGTGCTTGACCGGGACAAAAGATATGAAGTGTTAGGGATAAAAAGTGGACAGCTATCAATGTCAATGTGCAAAGAATTATTCAATATACATAAAAATTGGATTTCAATTGCTTGTGTTCAGTAAAGCAATGTATAAGTATTTGTACCGAGTTTTCCCCCCAAACATTTTGAAGTTAGAAAATTATGTTATATTTACCTAAAAATCATACCAACTAGACCCCCGCCAGTTGATGCCAAAATAGTTGTTACTGAAGCTCTGTGTGATTTAAAAGGAAAAAAAAATTAAGATTAATTTAATACTTCTAATAAACAAAATAATTTTAAATTACATTGAATTTAAGTAATTTTATATTCTAATTTGCAATCAATACAATTCTGTTATTCGAGTAAAAATAAATTTGTTCCGTATTTGTTCTATAACATAATATAGCTAAATATCGTCCTTTATTAAATCATCATAATTGGTAAATACTGATATTGCGTAATATTGATGTATAATATAAGTCATATTTATTTAGCGTTTGTATTATTGTATTTAAATGTAATATTTATTTATTGTCCATTTAAAACTAAGCTAAGTGCTTATGATTTATTATCATATGATATTACTTTACTGTGTTACATTATCGTTTGCTTCTATTAGACATTAATCAAATTAAAATTACTCTTATAATAAATTTCAAGCAAAACTTCATTCAGTCAAAGTATAAAATTAAAATAAAAAGCACAAAATAATAAAAGTATTAAAATAACTATTTAAAATTATTAATAAATATTAAAAGTTAATTTTCTGCCCTATTGAAAAATAATCTCTTGAGTGAAAAATATTCAACGAGATTTTATAGTATAATTAGAATAACAAAAAACAAGTTTGTGAATGACGTTACAAAGTAACTAAGAAATACTATAAGGTTTAAATTAAATCCGTGTTTGTGTAGTGAAAAGTTGCAGAATCTTTTTATTAAATATGGTTTACTTTGATGTAACAATTTCTATATATATGAAAAATCCATAATAAATATAAAGCATTAATGTATTTGTCTGCATCATTTTTTTAAAAATAAATAAATAGATTTTCAGAGTAATTAGTTTGAGATTTTATCTTGAATAACTTTCCTTGGTTTATATAAAAATATGCATCTATAAATTTTAAGATTTTTCCTTAGTTGTTTTTCCTTTCAAGCCATATTTAAAAATTTAGTAGGACTAAATACTTTAAATATATAATTAACTAGGTATTTATACATCAGACATATAAAGCATAATACAAAAAGTATATATTTTTTAGTAATTTGTAGTTGTAAATGCAAAAAGGAAAAATTGCCACTAACAACCATTAATGTTAAATTAAAGCTTAAAACTCTGACTACTGCAGTTTTATGTAAAGTTTTAAAATGTCCAGTTTTATAATCTAAGAAGCCTTTATTGCTTTTAATTTAGAAATTATCCTAAATAAAAAAAAATTATCCGAATTCACGTAATTTAGAAACTATCCTAGAAGTTAATCTTTTTCTGAAACGGTAATTTAATATGCTTTTGATTTTTAAAAATTAGTATTACTCGCTAAAAGTTTAGTTTACTTAAGCTTTTAACAGATATATTGAATTTTTTAAAAATGTGTCCTTTTCGAACGATTTTTTTCAACTCAAATAGTGAGCTTAGTTTTCACTCATTACTACTTATCAAAATAAGTTGAAATACCTATAAGCACGAATTTATGATATAAGTATATGTATCAGTATACGATATAAGTATACGATAAGTATGGGTACATGCTCAGTTTACAAGAATAATACCCCGTGTAGTAAATGGTTACTGATACACGACAAATCTGTTGGGTTGCAAAGTTCTCTTTGTTCCCATAACAAATTATACCTCTGGGGATACTAAATTGAGATTGATAGTTCTCTGGTTCAGGTCAAAATTACTATCTGTGGATGAATGAATGGATGTATCAATGGATCCACCCTATAAACGGGTGTGGCAGAAGTCAAATTCTTGGCCACAGATGTCGCCACTGGAAAACAAGAACAATCACTCCCCTTGCCTTAATGGCTTAAGACAACAACAAGAATAAGAATAGCACGATGTGTATAAATTGTAAATATATTCAACAGTTTACCTAGAAGAATATTTCCATTTATTATCAACAATACCAGTTGTACTACCAGCACTGAAACCTAACCATCCCCACCTGTGGAAAAATTGCATTTAGACTGATTGTGATACATTAAACTAGTTTAAACGTGATCAGTATAAAGAAATAATGTAAAAACAATGTAATGAGCTCAAATAAAAGATTGTATTTGTGCAAGAAAATTTCATAAAAAATTATTGATTGAATTATTGAAAAAATTAATTAAATTATATGTGGATTTCAGAGTATTTTAAATTTTTATAGTTTTTTTTGGAAAGGGAGAAACACAGCAACACATAAATGAAACAAATATCATATTGACGAAGAAATAAAATATTTAATATTTAGTAACTTTAATTTTTTTTAAAAAAATATTCGTCTTTATTCATTGAACACCTTTTCCTTCATTAATTTTGACTGTTTAAGTTACTTTCTGTAAATTATTTTTACCATGTATAGATAATTTTATAATTAAATTATTCTCAAATTAGTGAATAGTTCTAACAAGTATTTATTTACAAGTATTTAAATTAGTTATAGATACCAAAGAACCAAACGTTTCATAACAAACATTACGATAAAAACATTTTGATAAGGATGATAAGTCATCAAACAAAATCTGCAGGTCAGAATATGAAAACAATGAGATAGTGAGGATATACTTTGGTACTGATCGTCTACAGAAATCACACGAAAGAGAAAAAAAATATTTCAAAATATTAATTATGTAAATTTTTTAAAATTCATGTATTTTGAGAAAAAAAACTTAAAGTAGTTAAATAAATTACAAAAATGTCTTATTTTAAAAGTTTTAAAATAGGGTAAACAATTGTAATACCTAACAATTCAAAAAATTTTCTTTCATTATTAAATAAAAATCATAAATAGCTATGAAAAATATTTTCTAGAATGATAGATAACTGAGTTTTACAATTGTGTACAAAATGATTTTAATTCACTTAGAATGTTACAAGATATGCGAAATGTGAAGTTAAGATAAAGTGGCTTAAAATTTCGAGCGCTCTCCTAGTTAAACCCAACTTTTCCATATTTTCAGGTAACAGCAACTCTCTATAATTTGATTGTCAAAAATCAAAACCTGTTAAAATAAAAGTTTGTTTATTCTCTTTTTGGTTTTATAATTTAACTTAGAACTTATTAGCTAGGATTTTTGATTTAAAACTATAAAGTCTAGAAAAAAAACATTAAGAGAGGTATCTGTTTCTTAGCTAACTATATTCAAAGGTCTAAAAATTAATGCAAAAAATATATTTGAAATAAAAAGTGAAAGAGAAATAAAAATGTAAAGTTGAATGTGAATTTCATTTGTACTACTTCAAATACATTTAAAAATAGTATATAAAACTTGTTTTTAAAAAATATTCATAACAACAAACAGCATTTACCACAGCATGAAGAGGCCTAGCAAGGCATTTGTAGGATTTCCTAAAGGCAGGATTTGAGTACCACGATCATAGCGGCCAGTCCGTGGTCCAAGAATGATGGCCGCCACTAATCCACAGCTTCCACCAACGAGATGCACAACACCTGATCCTCCAACATCCACAGCACCCAATGAAGCAAGAAGTCCGTTTTCTCGCCACATCCAGCCAGCTGGAATACTGTAAACAAGTATTCCCAAAACAGTGATGAAACAGTAACTGGTGAATTTGCATCGTTCTGCCATTGCCCCCGATACTAAAGTTGTTGCAGTCGTTGCGTAAGCTAACTGGAAACAAGTTACAGCACTTCGGTCACATATTTTATAAACTTTTGTTTACATTAATGTTTACAAGGTGTTTCGTAATGACCACCCTTATTTTATATGTTTACAATTTTGTTAAAAATGATGTGAAGAAGATCGTTCAGCATTTTCAAACTCTGATTCATTAGAGTTAAGGTCCCTTACAACGTTTAGGAGCTTTCAAAATAATCTGAAACCTGTATAAATCGGAATGAAGCTCGCCCATTTACGAAAGATGTTCCGTTTTCTAGTCCTAATGGACAAACAAACTGAATCTTGTTGATTTTATTCCCACCTTTGTTCTTACCGATATTAAAAGTAATTGATTATATTTTGGAATCACTTTTATCTTATTTTATTTCGTCATTATTATGACCTTTAATGTTTCTATAGCTCATGACATCATTTTTACAAACTAATAATATGTTTTACTAGTGACTTGAACACCTTACGTAAAGTGAGGCAAGAGGAAAAATTTAGTGAGTTTTCAAGTGTATTTTAGATGGAAAATAATGCATAGATAATTTAATGTTTTCAATTTTTCCGTGATTTAATCAGAAATCTTTATGCTGCAATTGGGTATAATATGAAAAAAACACAACTACTTCCACTCCGAAAATTTTACTCGGAATAATATTTACCTTTTAGTTTGATTAATGAGCTGAGTTTTAAATATGTTTACTAAATTCATAAACTTAGATAAATCAACAAAATAAATTATTTCAAAAGGAACTAGACTAATACATTTCCAACCTGACGAGTAACGACTTATAACAACACACTTCGTTAAATGTTTACTTGTTGCTAGAAATCAGGTTCGCAGAAAATGTTGTTTACAATCTAAATTTAGTAGGAATAACACGACCTGTGACGTTGGCTATAGTACACCCAATTAGATTTATACTCAAGATTTGATGCATTTCTGGGAAGAGAAGCATTATTTGCATAAGTTTTTCTACAAAATATTGCTTCAATACTTAGTTCTAAAAAATTAGCGTGAGTCTGCTATTGCAATAAAATTAAAGTGTTTCTATTTGATTTTTATATAGCATGGTTTACAAAGTAATACACATAATGTTACTAGTATGATTGAAATTTAAAAAATAGGCAAGAATGGATTAGTAATAATTATTAGAAAAATATTTTTCTTATATATAATCAAGAATTTGTAGCCGGCCAGGTGGCCGAGTGTTTAGAAGGCCTGACTGCGGGTTCGCATCCTGCTCAGGGCATGGATGCTTCTCTGTGGGTTGCCCTCTGTTCTGTGTTGGTCCACTCTAAGGGTAATGATTCTTACCTATGCCACTTTGGTCCGCAGTTCCCCCTTCCGGGTAACGGTCTTCTAAGGTTATAAGAATGAAAGATCAGTGCCTGGAGTTATGAAAAAAATTATAATTTGTAGATATGTTTTGTTACATTATTACTGAGCATTTTTATTTCAACCCTGTGTTTCGCAACTAGTTGGGCATAATTCAGTTTTGCCACAGCACAAAATATTAAATCTTTGTTGATTCAATAAAAAAATAGTCCGAAGAAAATCTTACGGTATTAGGATAATTGTTTTCTTCAAATATTCTTCAGATATTTTCTGCTGAAAATGAGAAGAAAATTTGTTTCTAATACTCTCAGATTTTCTGAAGAAGAAGTAAAAATATATTTGTTTCAAATATGTCCAGATTTTTTGCAAATGTTTTCTGAAAAATAGGAAAATGTAGAAAATCAGAAATTTTTTTTCTAAAGAAATGCAAAAAATCTTTACCATGAATCTAGTTTGAATTCCGTTTCAAACCAAAGCATCAATGAATAAAAATAAACAGATTTTTCTTTAAAAAGTTGGTAGTTTTAAGGAGAAATATAGATCCTGAAAAAATGTTAAAAACAAGTACAATCTCAAAATTTACACAAATAGAATTTTAAAAGAATTCAAGAGCAAATAAGAATTAATCTTCCCTTAATTTCTGATATAAAAGGAAGGAGTTTATTGGTTAGCGTATGGCACAAATCAGTTTGGTGTTTTGTAAAGTCTTATGGAATTATCGAAAAAAGAAATAAAATTTTTGGAAGTTTTTATGAAGATAAAATTAATAGAAAAAGTACATATTTTCTTATCTGCAAGAGGTCATTAGAATATTTAGAGAAAAATATTTAAAGAAATTTTTCTGCAGATTTTCTTAAGATTAAATTGAAGAAAAGTAAAGATTTTTTTCTGTCTTCATAAATTTTGAGGAATTCTTCACATTTACTTAAAAAAGTTTTTCTTCTGCAGATTTTTTGAGATGTTCTTTTTTTATTGTTGTTGCTGGGATAAATTCTTATGTTTGTCAAAAATGTATTTTGTAACCATGTATCTAAACCTGAAATACCTTAAAACTAAATGAGAATGCATAAAAAATAATGTTATTTATGTATCTGAAAAATCTGTTAAAAATTGATTGGGTATCACCTTATATCTATTTTATGTCCAATAAAAACAACATAAAATAAAGATTCATACTTCAAAGACGAATTTCGAGTAAACAACTCCCATTTCATCTGGCGTGGCGGTGATAAAAAAAGAACCAACTGCAATGAAAAGATTAGAATATGTCTTTCCGTAGCTAAGAGCAAAACCAAAAGCCCAATATGCAAAACCTCCAGTCAGAACATTTGTGGCGTTTTTCACTAAAATATTCACTTCATTTTTTCTAGACACGATGCCAGATTCTAAAAGAGCATAACCTGCAACAAAAAAGTACAGTTAAGAAAAGGCAATGTAATTCTGTTAACGTAAACAAATTATGTTTCTGAGAGTAGGAGGTAAATTAAATTACTTAATCAAAAAAACATTTATATGATTAAAATTGATATGTTTTGAATTGAGAAATCTAATTTTTTAAGCGAAAAAATTTCATTAATAAATTAAGAACTTTTGTGTAAAATGAAAGAAAGGCTTATGTCTTTTTGTTGAATATTTTTAGTAGATAAATCTTTATACGTAAAAATTTTTTTTACTGAGGATGGATTTTCTTAGATACTCTTATAAAAGGATTCTCAGATTTACTAATACAAAAAAGTCTGCTTAATTTTCTTACAGCAAAATATTATTAATCTTGATGTCTCTCCCTATAATACGAAGTAAAACTTTTTGTTCACTATAATGTAGCAGAAACGATTTATATAAAACTAGGAGGCTTCGCCCCCTGCTCGCTGGAGCTCTCCAACCCGCGGAACTGCTTTCACAGGTCATTTCGGAATGCTCGCTTTGCTCGTTCATTGGATACGTTCTTAACGTCTAGTTTTTGTATACTTTTTTGAACACTGAAGTTCCGAAAACTTTTCACTGTAGAAAATTCTAAATCTGAACATTTCAGTATTAATTTGAAATTGCAAATAGTTCACATATTTTTCTTAATCACACTATTCTAAATTTCAGTTGTTGAGAAAAGTAACTGTTGTAAGTTTTGTTTTAAAGTCTTTCCCACCAGAGGGCTAAAGCCATGTGTTGTAAAACAATATGAAATAGTAGTCTGCCACTGAACGCCGGATGTAAAGCATCGGCTTTGATGAAGATAATTTTGTATTTTTAATTCTCTGAAGGGCGCCACCTTAATAATATGGAATTTGTAAAATAAATGTATATATTTTTGATTGTTGATGAAGCCCATCATTTTGTGTTTTCATCAGTGTTCAGAAGCAGAACAACTATAAGTTTTTTATTTTATCACAAAAAAATAAAATGTATAAAAAACAAAGAAAAGAGTAAGAAAATGAGTATAGTCATAGAAAAAGTTAAAATTATAATATAGTATTTGTCAGTTAAAATAAAACTTTTTGTTTAAGTCATTGCTAACAATTCAAATTTCTCCGAGGCAATTCTAAAGTATAAATTACGGTAGTATTGTTAAGTTGAAACACAATATTTATAGTTTTGATTTCAACAATAAAATTCAATTTTTCACAAAAACGATTGTTTCTATTGTTAAGTTCAATGTCAACAACTCAAATTTTTCTGAGGCAATTCTTAACCTCTAAATATTATTTTTTTTATGTACACATTTCTAAATGTCAGTATTCAACCACAAAACAACTTAAAGTCCTCAAATTTCGCATAAAGTTGTAAAATGTAATGAAAGAGGATCATCGCAATAATGAAAGTAGAAGTAAAGTTAGTACTATAAAATTAAAACAATATTTTTAATCAATGAGCCAAGTTCTTCAAGAAGCAGTTGTAGAAGTAGGTTGTTTGTTTAAAACTTTTTATAGAATTTCTTTAAGAACACAATTGTTAATTTGGGCCTTTGGCGATACAACACTCTTAGAATTGAAGGATTTGTTACGTCAAGCGCTCAGGTATCATAATTTTGATCTAGTTGCGCTTCTATGTCATTTTGATTTATGTTGCTAAGTTAACTTTCAAAAAATTCTATCGCCAGCAACAGCATTTTTATTTTTTAAGTTGTTTATTTTAATATCTATCAGAATTCGTTATTTTTTTTAGCGAAATGTTTTTTAAACCTAACAGAATTCTTTGCCGACTGTTTTCTCTATGAATGAAGAAAATAAAGTAAATATTTAACTGTTGTGAAAAGAATCTTATTTAGTTGTACAAAGTACTTCAGCCAAAATTTTGGGAGAAACGTGAGAGAATTATATATATTAGATCAGAAACACATCATTAAAAGGCAGAATGCTTTGGTGTTTTCAAAACAAAGCAAACGTTGCCACCGGCGGAAAAGAAATACATCCAAAATTTGGGAGCCACGTCAGAGAATTATATATAATTGGTAATGAATTTTATTTACGGTCGAATTTAAGATGCAATGAAAAAATCATTAAGTTTTTTTATAATATTCAACTAGAGTTACTTCTATACCATCACTGTAAAAAAAGAATATTCAAGTATCACGAGACTTTCTTGACGAAACCGTTTCCTGGTATATGCTCCTAGCAGAAATGTCGTCAAAGTGACTATATAACTGTCACTTCTTCAAGGAAACGAATTTCGTCAAAATTAAAAAAATTTCGCCATTATATATTTTTTTCTAAAAAAAAGGCACGTGGTGCCTAATATATCTAACTTTTCTAATGATCACTTCAATGTGGGCACCACACAACAAGGACGGATAGAACATAAAGCAAAATTAATTCCTTGCCCGAAGCAGGATTCGAACTCCTGATATTCCTAGTGCAAAGCTAACTCCTTGAACACGATACAAAACAGACAGCTTAATTCGTCACTTTGTTTTCGATTGGCTAGTCTTTATTCTAGTTTCGTCATTTTACTTAACAATTTCCCACATTGCACTTCGATGAGGTTTCGAGTTGAGGACACATTTTCGTCATACATATGAGAGTTTGCGTTGCACCATAAACCACGTGATTTCACGACGGAATGATTCTAAAAATTAAGGAAATACAGATCAAGGATTGCTAAATCATCAAAAGTTATTTCTAAGAGTGATAGATATATTGAATTTTATATTTGACATTAAACTTTACAAATAAAAAGTCTCGCAATTACTTCATTTATCATTGATTTATCAAAATATGGTTAAAAAACCTTGATTTGCATTTATTACATTATGAAAGGTGAAATCGTATAAAGCGTTTAGTATGTAAAGTAAGTAGATATTACTTAATATATTTAAACACGCACATAGTTTGTCTGGAAGTATTTTGAAGCAAATTTAAAGTAAATATTTTTTGTTTCCTGAAACCTACCTGATTGCATAGTGAAAATGAGAAAGGAGCTTGTTAGGATAAATACGACATCATTCGCATCTTTACGAGAAGCTTGTTCATCGCTTAAAGTTCCATTCATAAAAGGAGAGTCTGTTTCCGAAACAGAAGGCATGTTTTATGCATAGAAGCTATAAAAGAAAGCATAATCTATTCCATGGATTTTAACAATTGTCCTATTAATTATTCTTATAAAGTTATATTTATTTGAACACTGTGAAAAAACATTCTGGTATAAAATCAGTACTGAATAATAATGACATTTCTGGTAAAAAAAACAACGTAATTCTGGTAAATAAACAACGTAATAATAAAACAACGTGATAACATAAAAACATATGGTACTTGAACCATTAGTTTTGTGATTTTTTCGTTTATATGGTAATGTTTAACTGGAAATACTGGTTTTCAAAATTATGTCTAATGTTTTATGTATATAAGCTAGAAAAGAATGTTTAATTTGAACTGTGGATTGAGCGAATTTTCTCATTAATTATACTCACAAAGTTACGTTTATTTAAACACAGATAAAATATTTTGGTCAAATTACCGTACTGTATCGTAATAACATTTCTGGTAAAAAACCATAATTCCGGAAAGAAGGAAATCAAAATTTATGATATTTAAATCATTCATTTGATAATTTTTCTATTCATATGGTAACGCTTTCTTCTTCTGGTTTCCAAAATTATATCTCTTAATACAACATCGAATAAAAAATACAAAACTGTAAAATTATCGAATAAAGGATTTTATCAAATAAATGATTTATATGCCAAGACCTAAGGTGAAATTACCAAATTTTGTCACAATTATCAAATTTTATCAGATGATATGAAGCCATATTTTGCTGTTTGTTTTACCAAGAACATTACTGAAGCGCTTTGGTAAAAATTACCGAACTTTTTGGTGTTTTCATAGAGCCAGAAATACGGTAATTTTTACCATATTCTGGTAGTTTTGATCATAATTTTTTTCTCAGTGATGAAAGAAATTTGCCTTTTCTATTTACTTCATTTATTATTTTCAATTTAAAGAATAGATGTTTGCAGTTCTTAAGAAAAATATAAGAAATGTTTTGTTGGCAAAATTGATTTAAAGCGACGTATACTTATTTAAAAAAAAGACATTATAGTGTATATAATAAATATTTATTCCTATAAAGTTGCAATTAGCTATTTTTGAGACTTTTTATCAAACTATATTCATATCAGTATAAATTTATAGAAAAAACAGACTTCATAATAATTAAAGAGAAAATTTACTTATTCATATTATTGAACGCATATTTTTGAAAATTTATATCAAAAAATGAGATTTAATGTTTTGATTAATCGTGCTAGTGGAACAGATGTCCCTAAGCACAGACGGAAAACTTGCTTATCCATTTTCAAATACCTAATTTTTTGAATTTATTGCAAAAATAATTTGCTATATAGATTTATAGCAAAATAGCTAAATATTTTGTTAGCAGAATGGTATTATGATGTATGTAATAAAAATTCACTTACTCAGTTGCAAATATATAACAGAAAATAGATATTTGCTAAATAAATCTTTATAAAAATAGACTTTTTTCTAAATATATTTATAGCAAAATAATTTTATTCCAAAATAAATTTATAATGAAATAGATTTATATCAGAAATGTATAATAAAATATATATAATGCAAACTTACTTATTTATTTACAAATATGTACTTCGTAGATTTAATATTTCTTCATTTTATATGAACAAATATAAATAAATATATATCCTTTTTTTAACATTTACTAGTCATATTTTGAATTTTTGTTGCTTTCGCTCAAATTTATTCATGCATTTAATGCACACAGAAATTTGTTTTGAATAGTTTCAATTCTCGTTGATATCAAATCAAAGTTTTTTTGTCCATTTTTATTTTCAGACTGTGATCTGATTGGATAGCGGAATTGTGCATTATTAAGTAGTATTTGAAATGAAATCAAACCAAAAATTGATTTTCTAACGGGACAATTGACGATAATGATACGACGTTTAGAAGGATATTTCGAAAGGAAGTGAATGATGCAGGTGTTTCCATTAATTTAGCTTTGAAAAAGATATGCTGCATTTTATTTTTATAATTTTTTATTTCTGGTGTATTTATAAACATGTATTTGTAAATTGTATACGCAAATTGATATTCAAAGAGAAAAATGTTTTCCGCATGATAAAATGTTATTTTTTTTTCGAAAAAAATCTTTTTTTTTTGATTTAGTATTTCCGTATTAATATTTGAAATGATACCATGAAATGAGGAAAAATGTAACATACGAGGGATGCTATTTATATTTCTGGCCTTGGCAACAGTAAGTGTTGCTAGGCGTCCGCAGACGATTTTAATCGAAAGTTTGATATTTTTAAACATAAATTCAGCAGACGATTTACCATTATAGCTTCATTTGTGTTGTTGACAGTAAATTGAAAAGTTCTTCTCTTTCAAAAAATGGAATTGAATCGTGAACATTTTCGTGCCATTATTTTTCATAACTTTCGACGTGGATTGTCAAGACAAGAGTGCTTCGATGAACTTAATTCTTTATTCAGCGATAAAGCGCCATCCTACAGCACTGTAAAAAATTGGTATAACGAATTTAATCGTGGTCGATGTTCGATCCAGGACGAATCCCGTGCAGGTCGTCCAAAATCCGTTGTTGTGCCAGAAAAGATCGATGCTGTGCGTGAACTGATAAAGCAAGATCGTCATGTGACATACCGTGAGATAGAGGCGTCTTTGGACATTAGTATGACTAGCATCAATAAAATATTGCATGAACATTTGAGCGTAAAAAAAATTTGTTCGCGTTGGATCCCGCATAATCTGACAAACGCTCAAAAAAAGGCTCGTGTCGATTGGTGCAAGGAAATGTTGGAAAAATACGTTCAAGGTACATCAAAGGCTGTGTATAACATCTACACAGGTGACGAATCATGGATCTATGCATATGAGCCGGAAACAAAACAGCAATCAACTGTATGGGTCTTCCAAGACGAGGCAAAACCAACAAAAGTTGTTCGAGGAAGAAGCACATCGAAACAAATGATTGCCTGTTTCTTCGGCATTAACGGTCATGTGGCAACAGTGGCGTTAGAGCAACGCAGGACGGTCAATTCTGAATGGTACACGACCATTTGTTTGCCAGAAGTCATCGGAGAAATTCGAAAAAAGCAGAAGAACAGGCGAATCATTCTTCATCATGACAATGCGAGCTCTCACACATCGACTCAAACAAAGGCATTTCTGACGGAGCGAAAGATCGAACTGATGGGTCATCCGCCGTACAGCCCTGATTTGGCACCCAATGACTTCTTCTTATTCCCACACATCAAAAATAAATTACGTGGACAACGATTTTCGACCCCCGAAGAAGCGGTTGATGCATTCAAAACGCATGTTTTGGAGTTACCTCAATCGGACTGGAAAAAGTGCTTTGAAAATTGGTTCAAACGCATGCAAAAGTGTATTGATCATCATGGAGAATATTTTGAAAAAACTTAAAACCAATTTCGACCCTACATATTTGTTTTTTCATTATTAGGCCAGAAATATAAATAGCAACCCTCGTAATAACCTAAATAACGTTTGATCTAACGATCAAATGTTTACAAGCAGAATTTAAATAATCATATTTTAAAGGAATTATCTACTTATTTAATGCGAACTTTTATTATATATTTAGCACATAATGACAACTTTTATGGATATACTGCTACTTTTTTGCACTAATTCATATTAAAAATGTTTGGAAATATAAGAATTCATCAAATTAAAAAGAAAGTGAGACTTTGGCTAATTTCATGCTGAATTCTTATGCAGTTTTTCGCTTGGTTTCGGGATTAAACAATTAGGGAAAATAAAAAAAAAACTTTAAAATAAATTCAAAAATCTTTTTTAAATAATTTTTTGATAAAGTTCTATTTTTTTTCCAAAAAATCTATTTCTTTTGATTTTTGATTTAGTACTTCCGTATTAATGTTTGAAATGATACCATGAAAGGAGGAAAAATATAGCAAAATAACCTAAATAACGTTTGATCTAACGATCAAATGTTCACAAGCAGAATTGAAATAAACAAATTTTAAAGGAACTATCTACTTATTTAATGCGAACTTTTATTACATATTTAGCAACAAAATAACAACTTTTATGGATATACGGTTACTTTTTTGCACAAACTCATATTAAAATGTTTGGAAATATAAGAATTCATCAAATTAAAAAGAAAGGGAGACTTTGGCTAATTTCATGCTGAATTCTTGCGTGGATTTTTGCTTGGTTTCGGGATTAAACAATTTGGGAAAATAAAAAAAAATCTTTAAAATAAATACAAAAATCTTGTTTAAAAATTTTTTTGATAAAGTTTTATTTTTTTCCAAAAAATCTATTTCTTTTGATTTTTGATTTAGTACTTCCGTTTCGAAATGATACCATGAAATGAGGAGAAATATTACAAAATAACATAAATAAAGTTTGATCTAACGATCAAATGTTCACAAGCAGAATTGAAATAAATATACTTTAAAGGAACTATCTAGTTATTTAATGCGAACTTTTATTACATATTTAGCAACAAAATAACAACTTTTATGGATATACGGTTACTTTTTTGCACTAATTCATATTAAAAATGTTTGGAAATATAAGAATTCATCAAATTAGAAAGAAAGTGAGACTTGGTCTAATTTCATGCTAAATTCTTATGCGGTTTTTTGCTTGGTTTCAAAATTAAACAATTTGGGAAAATCAAAAAAAAAAAATCTTTAAAATAAATACAAAAATCTTGTTTAAACAATTTTTTGATAAAGTTTTATTTTTTTCCAAAAAATCTATTTCTTTTGATTTTTGATTTATTACTTCCGTATTAATGTTTGAAATGATGCCATGAGAGGAGGAAAAATATAGTAAAATAACCTAAATAAAGTTTGATTTAGCGATCAAATGTTCACATGTGGAATTGAAATAATCAAATTTTAAAGGAATTATCGACTTATTTAATGCGAACTTTTATTCCATATTTAGCACAAAATAACAACTTTTATGGATATACGGCTACTTTTTTGCACTAATTCATATTAAAAATGTTTGGAAATATAAGAATTCATCAAATTAAAAAGAAAGTGAGACTTTGGCTAATTTCATGCTAAATTCTTATGTGGTTCTTTGCTTGGTTTCGGGATTAAACAATTTGGGAAAATGAAAAAAAAAAAGATTGAAATACACTCCTCAAAAGTGAAATTGCAGCACCAAGAAATAATGCACGTAGCGTCATGCAAATTTCAGGAGCGATAGTAGTGAGATGGATATGCAAATGATTAAATTTGCGCACGCATCTGATCACGTGGTACGCATATTCAGGCTATAAAGGCCAGCAACTTTCCCTTCTCATAAACGGCATCTGAGGTTTTGCGTAGCATTTGCGACTTTCGAAAAAGCGTAGAAAATGCCTCTGAGACGTCGGCGAGCTCAATACCATCAGTTAACGACCGGGGAACGTGACCGCATTATCGAACTCCATGAACTTGGTTTGTCACTGCGCGCAATAGCAACTCGTGTTGGGCACAACGTGAGTACCATCCAACGTTGTGTCACACGATGGATTCAGGAAGGTCTACGTGCACGCCGAAGAGGAAGTGGTGCGCACAGGTGCACGTCAGAGCGCACAGACCGGCGTATTCGCCAGTTGACTATTCGAGACCCTTTCTCCACGGCACGTGCCATCCGAAGCCGGTTGCCTTCAGGAGCAGGTGGATCTGTGTCCACCCAAACCATACGCAACAGATTGCATGAAGTACAGTTACGTGCACGGGTACCAGCAACAGGGGTACCGTTGACCGCTTTACACAGGGCTAGACGCCTGGCGTGGTGTCATCGTCATCGTACCTGGACCATCCAATGGCATCGGGTATTGTTCACGGATGAATCTCGTTTCTGTCTGTGGAGAAATGACGGCCGTCGACGGGTATGGCGGCGACCCGGAGAACGCTACGAACCAGCCCATTACGCCGAGCGTCACAACGGTCCTACACCGGGCATCATGGTTTGGGGTGGCATAATGTTTGATCGCAGAACGCCCCTGGTACACATTCACGGCAGTTTGACAGCGGACCGCTACGTCACACAAGTTGTGTATCCCGTTGTTCTGCCCTTGTTGCAGGGCGCACCCAACACGGTATTCCAGCAAGACAATGCCAGGCCGCATGTCGCACGGCGAACTCTTAACAGCCTGACTGGATTTGACATCCTTCCCTGGCCGGCAGCCTCTCCAGATCTGAATCCCATAGAACACCTATGGGATCTCATTGGAAGTGGCATGAACAGAGGACCAATGGCGCAAACCATCGATGATCTGCGCACAGCAGTGGATGTGGCTTGGCAAAGGTTACCTCAGGCAACCATCAATGGAGTCATTGATAGCATGCCTCGCCGGATTGAGGCCTGTATAGCTGCCCGAGGTGGCCACATTAGATATTGAATAAATTGCTTTATAATGATTTTATTAGTCTGTTTTTTTAATCACTTGCATATCCATCTCACTACTATCGCTCCTGAAATTTGCATGACGCTACGTGCATTATTTCTTGGTGTTGCAATTTCACTTTTGAGGAGTGTAAATACAAAAATCTCGTTTAAAAAACTTTTTTAAATCATTTTTATTAATTTACTTATTTTTATGTTTTTATTTATTATTTTAGTTTACTA